CGACACCACAGGGGGGAGCTGTGGGTGGGGACGCTATCCGTTTCGGGCTCGCAAAGTGTGGCAGGCGTGGCACTTCCTCACCACAGGGGGGGAGCTGTGGCGCCATCCGTTTCGGGCTCGCAAAGCGTGGCAGGCGTGGCACTTCCTCGACACCACAGGGGGGGAGCTGAGGGCGGGGACGCTATCCGTTTCGGGCCGCAAAGAGGGGCGTGGCACTTCCCCTATGCGGTGGGGGACGCTGTCCGTTTCGGGCTGGCGTGCACAAAGCGTGGCCTCGAGGCGTACTTCCTCGACACCACAGGGGGGGAGCTGTGGGTGGGGACGCTATCCGTTTCGGGCTCGCAAAGCGTGGCAGGCGTGGCCTTCCTCGACACCACAGGGGGGAGCTGTGGGTGGGGACGCTATCCGTTCGGGCTCGCAAAGCGTGGCAGGCGTGGCACTTCCTCGACACCACAGGGGGGGAGCTGTGGGTGGGGACGCTATCCGTTTCGGGCTCGCAGAGCGTGGCAGGCGTGGCACTTCCTCGACACCACAGGGGGGGGGGGCTGTGGGTGGGGACGCTATCCGTTTCGGGCTCGCAAAGCGTGGCAGGCGTGGCACTTCCTCGACACCACAAGGGGGAGCTGTGGGTGGGGACGCTATCCGTTTCGGGCTCGCAAAGCGTGGCAGCGTGGCACTTCCTCGACACCACGGGGTGGGGACGCTAATCGTTTTCGGGCTCGCAAAGCGTGGCAGGCGTGGCAACTTCCTCTACCACAGGGGGTGGCAGGGGGGGGGCTGTGGGTGGGGACGCTATCCGTTTCGGCTCGCAAAGCGTGGCATGCGTGGCACTTCCTCGACACCAAGGGGGCGCTGGGGGTGGTCTCCCTATCCGTTACGGGCTCGCAAAGCGTGGCGGGCTGGCACTTCCTCGACACCACAGGGGGCGCGTTGGGGGTGTCTCCCTATCCGTTGCGGGCTCGCAAAGCGTGGCAGGCGTGGCACTTCCTCGACCCCACAAGGGGTGCGCTGGGGGTGGTCACCCTATCCGTGACGGCTCGCAAAGCGTGGCAGGCGTGGCACTTCCTCGGCACCACAGGGGTTGCGCTGGGGGTGGTCCCTTATCCGTGACGGGCTCGCAAAGCGTGGCAGGCGTGGCATCTCCTCGACACCACAGGGGGTGCGCTGGGGATGGTCTCCTTATCCGCTGCGAGCTCGCAAAGCGTGGCAGGCGTGGCACTTCCCCGACACCACAGGGGATGCGCTGGGGTTGGTCTCCCTATCCTTGACGGGCTCGCAAAGCGTGGCAGGCGTTGCACTTCATCGACACCACAGGGGGTGCGCTGGGGTGGCGGGCTCGCAAAGCGTGGCAGGGTGGCACTTCCTCCACTGGGGGTGGTCTCCCTATCCGTTGCGGGCTCGCAGAGCGTGGCAGGCGTGGCACTTCCTCGACACCACAGGGAGTGCGCTGGGGGTGGTATCCTTATCCGTTGCGGGCTCGCAAAGCGTGGCAGGCGTGGCACTTCCTCGACACGACAGGGGGTGCGCTGGGGGTGGTCTCCCTATCCGTTGCGGGCGCGCAAAGCGTGGCAAGCAATATGGCGTTGGATGACACATAAGGAAACATTCGCGACGAGGGCTCAGAACGCAGGATTGCGCATATATTAAAAACATAAGCAAGCACATCATAGTTAAATTAAGTATGTGGGGTTCTTCGGTAGCGTAATTTAAAATCCCATGTATTCCGACGCGCGCGCGCGAGACGCTATTTTACCCCTTCTTCGACCTTGTCCTTAAACAATCCCATGTATGAAAAATCCTATGTATTTAAAACGTCTCTGTATATCTATATATATATATATCAACACGGAAGAAGCACAAACGATAATTTTGGCATTCGCGCGCGACGACGCGCGCGTGTGCACATCGTCCCATGTTTTGCGACGGGTTCTTGATCACTTATGGGTTTGGTAACGAGTGTGCGCGCGTAGTATGAGTTTGCAGAGGATGAAACGGGGGTGGGGGGCGTTGCTGGCTTGGCTGGCGTGATATGAGTTTATATTTCGGATGGACGATGTGGCAAAGTCATGTGTAAGTTGCAATACCAAGAGGAGAGCGATTAAATCCGGGGGGGGGGGGTAGGTCATAATATTGTGTCAGATAAGGAAAGGTATCAATGCTCGCAGTGAATTGTCAACACCACTCCTCGCGCAACCGTCGCACCCACTCACTCGCAACGTGGTTTGCAAGACCCATGCGGTGGCGACTGCGATGAGTGCTTGGCGTTGGCTGGTGCATCTCTGCGGCCGTGCTAGCCCGCGCATGCTCGCGCGCTCAGCGACCACCGAGCGCGGCGCGACCGACGCGGCCGCGGTGGCGTTGACCGCCTGGCACTTCCCAGCGGGCACTTCAGTACGAATCGGTGAGTAGGGCGGGCGTGGTATCACGGCGACGCCGACAGCGGTAGACACGATGATGCTAATAGCGACGATGGTGACGATGGTGACGATGGTGGCGATGACAACGGCAAGGCCGATGACCGCCCCGATGTTGATCACCCCCGCCGATAACGATGACGATGCCGTCGCGTCGGTGATGGAGGTTTGGGATGTGTTCGACATGCGCGCGCGGCCGACGCTCGAGAGTGGCTTTCGTGGTATTATTTGACGCGGATCGTGCCCCCCCCAGCACGCGCAAGGGCGTTCGGATGAATCCGGCATGCGGCGCGAGAGGCCCTTTTGGCACAATTTGATAACAGTTGGAATTCGCAAGAGCGCGCGCGCAGGTTGTTTTGAAACTTGATGTTGCAAAACCATGTGTTTCGATATGCTTCCGCGCCACTCGTTTTTGAGCCCCTGACGAAGCCGGACGTTTTTGAAAAATTTCGGCACGCGTGCCCGACAGCGCGCGCGTGTGCACTTCGTCCCATGTTGTGCAAAACGGATTCTTGCGACAGCACGCGCGCGAGGGCCCCTGGTGGTCCCGCCCCGCCCCCGCCGTGCATACCGCGGCCATCATATCAGGCTCCCGGTAATCCCAGGTGGTTCCGCCCTCCCCCCCGCCGTGCATACTGCGGCCGCCAGCTCCCCAGGCTGCCGATGATTCCTGGTGGTCCCGCCCCCCGCGCTGACTCGCCCACTCTGCGTGCTGCGGCCGCCAGATCCCCAGGTCCCCCGACAACCCCTGAAGATCCCGACCCCCGCGCTGATTCGCCCATGCCGCGGCCGCCAGGTCCCCATGCCCCCCACAGAACGGAGCATAAGACCACACCACCGAACGTAACATACCATATCATGACAGGACATATCGTATCATCACATACCATGACAGAGCAGCGTATGTCATACCACATCACAGAAGCACATATAATTCCATATCGTGGCAAGCCATCCATGCCATAACACATTAACGCAACACTTAACATGCCAGAGCATTACATGTCACACCATCGCAAATCATGACACAGCACGTCATAACACAGCACATCGCATCAAAGCATGTTATGGCATATCGGATCTTTTACCAGCAACATTTCACATCATATTTCTATCATAACAGGACATGGCGGATCAGAACATCACTTACTTTACAATGACACAACGAACCACAACATAGCACAACATCGCATCACATCTCAGTCCATATCAGGTCGAATCATCACTTGACGAAGGTTTCGGTGGGGATTGCTGGAAGCAAAACAATCTGCGAAGGGTTTATGAAACCGGCTGATTTTTGATCAGCCAGTTTGCGCGCATAACATTTTTTGCATAGGACGTTGGGGGAGACTGGCCTGCATGGGATGGTGAGTTCATATTTCGGATGGAAGATGGGGCACAATCGTATGTAAGCTGCACATTCCCAGGGGTCCGATCAGTCCAGAGGGGGTCGATCTTAATAGTTTTGGAAAAGAGAACCTGTGCGGTCCAGTACTTGTGGTGCAATCTATGTGGTACAATGTATGCTGTGCTGCATATATGTGTTTGTGTAGCGTATGTTGTGATGACTATGTGGGGCAATCCATGCAGTGCAATCTGAACATGTATGTTGTGCAACCTATGTGGTACACCCACTGTTGTGCAACACATCTGGTGCAATCTGTTTTGTGAGCGAGCGGCATCTTGCTCGTGCGGTCTACGTGGTGCACTCCAGCGGCGGCGACGAGGCGGCGACGAGGCGGCGATGGGGCCGCGACGGCGGCCACACAGCCGCCGGACCGAAGACACGGCCCAGCAGACTTGCGATGTCGATGCGGCGATGAGGCGGCGACGGCGGCCACATGGCCGCCAGATCGAAATATATATATATATATATATATATATCTTTATATATATATATAAAATATTCATTTTGTTGTAGAACAGAGGGAGAGTATCCCAAGTGCAAACGCTGTTTGGGGAATGCCATCATATGAAACCCCTCCCCCACTTCCTCCCTCCATCCGCCCAAGTCTTTTTCCCACTGCTGCTGCCGAGAGCGATGCGGGCCCCGCGTCCCAGTCCCTGGCGCAACTGGACAGCGATGGCGACGACGGCGACGACAACCCCGACGACGGCGACGACCATGCCGCCGACGATGGAGGCGACCAGGTTGATGACGGCTTGCGACGGCGGTTCTTCCTCTTCGCCACGAAGCGCACGGGTCCCAAGGGAAACGGGCCCGGAGGTTTTGTGCAATTTTGAGCCGTCGGGGCCTGCCGCGGGCCCCATTGAAGGCGAGTCATGACGCAAATCTGGTCCCGGGGAAGAAAACGAAGTCCAAGATCCGTTCGTCCAGACGTCAGAGTGACCTTTCGCCGGAGTGGCCTTTGGCGCGGGCCCAATGGGATCGCCCGATCGCCAGACGCGATGCGGTGGTAGAGTCCTGCGCGCTTGTGTTTGGTCCCCCCGCGGCCCCCAAAGAGCCGCACACCAAAGGTCACTCCTATGGTCACTCTTGCGTGTAGCCGATCCGTGTCCTTCAGGGCGCGTTTCCTTCGTGACAAGACTCTTTCCCCGTCGGTCGTCCTTTCAGTTCCCACCGAGGAGACCAGCCTGCTGGCGGGTTCCCCTGGCAGCAGTCCCACGGTGCGCGGGGGGGCCTCCTATCCCGACCCAGGGAGGCAGGACGCAGCATTCAGGAGGAGGCCCCCAAAAAACAGGGAGGATGAGGTCGACAAAACGAAAACGACACCACCGCACCTGCGACCCTCCATGTTGCGCTACGGCCCATCGGGCGCCGTAGCGTATACCACGCAAAAAACCACGCCAGATTAAGCCCTGTGGGGCCGTAGGTGGGGTGGTGTCGTTTGTTTTCTGGTCCAAGTGATGCTGCTGCTGCTGCTGCTGCTGATGATGATGATGATGATGATGACGATGCTGATGCTGATGCTGATGCTGATGCTGATGCTGATGCTGATTATGCTGCTGCTGCTGATGATGATGATGACGATGACGATGGCGATGACGATGATGATGATGATGATGATGATGATGATGATGGTGGTGGTGGTGATGATGATGCTGATGGTGTTGGCGAGGGTGATGGTGATGCTGATGATGACGACGACGATGATGATGATGATGATGATGACGATGATGCTGATGATGCTGATGATGCTGATGATGATGATGGTGATGGCGAGGGTGATGGTGATGCTGATGATGATGATGACGATGATGATGATGCTGATGATGATGATGATGCTGCTGATGATGATGATTATGATGATGATGATGATGACGATGACGATGACGATGATGATGATGATGATGATGATGATGATGATGGTGGTGATGATGATGATGATGCTGATGCTGATGATGATGATGATGATGATGATGATGATGATGATGATGATGATGATGATGATGATGATGATGATGATGATGATGATGATGATGATGATGATGATGATGATGATGATGATGATGATGATGATGATGTGATGATGATGATGATGATATGATGATGATGATGATGATGATGATGATGATGATGATGATGATGATGATGATGATGATGATGATGATGATGATGATGATGATGATGATGATGATGATGATGATGATGATGATGATGATGATGTGGTGGTGGTGGTGGTGGTGGTGGTGGAAGTGGTGGTGGTGATGGTGGTCGTGGTGGTGGTGATGATGACGCTGCTGTTGATGCTTATGATGATGAGAGGAGGAGGATGAGGATGAGGATGAGGATGAGGATGATGACGAGCAGGAGGAGGAGCAGGAGGAGGAAGAGGAGGAGGAGGAGGAGGAGGGAGGAGGAGAGGAGGAGGAGGGAGGAGGAGGAGGAGGAGGAGGAGGAGGAGTTGGAGGAGGGGGTGGAAAAGCGAAGGCATGAGGAATGTTATGTTGTTTGACAGTTTGCTAACCCAGAGAGCCAATCAAGACACGCTCTCGAGGCGAAGCGCAACCACCCCGTACACGGAGCCGAAGTCCCGAATACGACGTGGCCTCGCAAGGGCCCCACCAGTGCGCATCCCCCCTCCACGACTGGGGAATGCTGCTCTGACCGAGGGCCGCGCCACACCCAACGACGGAAAGCCAACCCCCGTGCCCCTCAGGCCGATACAGGTTTCGCACGTCCACCCCCAGTCCTCACCTCAGCGGACGAGTTCCGAACAGAGTGCGCTACCAACGGCACCACCGTGCCCGGACAAAAAGTGTCCACACCAGTGGCGGGAAGGCGATGCAACACGATGACCACCACAATCGCGATATGCCCCTGTTTCGCACCCCTCCCCCCCAAACCCAAAGTGGAAGTGTCCACATTTTGTCCCTGGCCTCTGGCCTACCGCCTAAACCCGTCAACTTTGAATTTAGGGGAGGGGGGTATACGTGTTGGTCCGTTGTACTTTAATAACTCAAGGTCTTGGCGGGACACGTGTGGACACTTTTAGTCCACCCACCGTGCCAGCATGCCAAGCATTGGCAAACCTTTGCACAGTCTGCCGCGCATCGGAAGACCTTCGGGCGCCCGGAAAAACCCGTGGGCCCACGAGGCCGCGTCCGCTCGCCCAGGCACCGGGTTCCCGAGGAGGCGCCGAGGCGTCTCCCCTGATCATCCTGCTCCCTCCTGCCCATCTCGTCCCTGCTGCTCCTCCGAAGGATCGGACGAGTGAGATTCGAGGGAGCGGAGGGTCGAGGTGTCAAGGGTCGAAGGGTCGAAGATCGAGACATCGAGGATCGAGCCTTCGAAGGATCGAAGGGCCCATCGCAGGGCGGGGGGGGGCGTGCCACAGCCGGCGGCGTCGCGGGAGCCGGCAGGCGCACAAGGAGACCGTGGAGAAGCTGAAGGCTGGAGCCCATCGCCTCCGTGGGGGGTGGATCGAGGAGCAGGGGCGAGGAGCCAGTACGATAGGGAGGATGAGGAGGATGAGGATGAGGATGAGGAGGAGGAGGAGGAGGGGGCAGAGGAGGAGGATGCGGAGGCGGATGAGCAGGAGCAGAAAGAGGAGGAGGAGGAGGAGGAGGAGGACGAGGAGGAGGATTTTTCATAGGAGCAGCAGCAGAATTAAGCAGCCTGACGGGGATTGTAGAGCTGTTTAAATACTGATGGCAATGAGCTCACTCACCGCCGTCCCTTTGATAAAGGGGCAAGAGGCATGGGCCGCACTATGCCGCACTGTGTCCTTCAGCGCCAATCTCGACCCCAGTCGCGAACACCACTCCGCGGAGGTAATCCCTTCCTCAGGCCTGTAAGTGCAGAACACTGAGCTTTGAATGAGTCCAAGACGCACAGCTTCACACTCGCCGAGGAGCTCCACAGGCGCGGCCTTGGCGTAACTCTCGCAGGAGGAGCAAAAGCAGTAGCCCCCCTTCCTCCACAAGGTGTTGGAAGGGTGCACGGGGTGACCAGTATGCCCGATACCATGCGCGAGGCGGCAAGGCGGAACCCTCATGCCCAGGCCGCGGAGGAGGAGGAGGCGGCGGCGGCGGCGGAGGTGGAGGCGGAGGCAGAGGTGGAGGAGGAGGAGGAGGATGAGGAGGAAGCGGATGAGGAGGAAGCGGATGAGGAGGAGGAGGAGGAGGAGGAGAACCAGTGTAAACCAAAGAGTCATCAACGATGTTGGGATAAAACCCTCCCGCCAAGCTCCTTCTTCATGGGCCCCATACACCGGTTCATTTCTTCTGAAAGAACTGCCTCGTTGGAAGACAACCCTTTGAAGACCCTGAAGCATGCCAACATATTTTTCTCGGGACTCAAACGCCACGGTCTTGACGATCTTGAATCATGCCAGAACGCCATTGCTGGGACTTCAACACCGCGACTCAACATAAGCAATGGTGGCATCCCATAATCCGGAATCTTTCCGAACTACCCATTCTGGTACGCTGATCAAGGGAATCCGTGAAACTCTTCTAAATGTTTACAACGGGTGTGCGCGGCGCTAAGGCGAGAGCCACATTTTGAAAAGCAACCGCCCTCAATCCGTGAAGCTCTTGCGTATTTTTGAAGCGAATGTGCGCGGCGTTGAGAAGAGAGCAACATTTTGAAAACGCCCGCCCTCCATCTTCGAATCTCTTGCAGTTTTTAGGAACGAATGTGCGCGGCGCTGAGGCCAGAGCCACATTTTGCACACCACCCGCTCTCAACCCGTGAAGCTCTTGCACTTTTTAACGAATGAGCGTGGTGCTTAGGCGAGAGCCTCACATTTTGAAAACGACCCGCCCTCGATTCGTGTAACTCTTGCAAAGGTTGAAAACGAATGTACGCCGCGACAAGGCGAGAGCCACAGTTTGAAAACGACCCGCCCTCAATTCTTGAAGCTTTTGCAATTCGTTGGAACGAATGTGCGCGGCGCTAAGGCGAGAACCACATTTTGAACCCCCCGCGCCCTCAATTCGTTTAACCGTTGTCATTCACTTTTTAGCTTCGAGGCCATCAATGGTAAGGAGGTCTCAGACGAAACGCCCGGTCCCCCTCAAAAACAGGCGTCGGGGTGCGACAGGAAGTTATCTATAAGGAAACGGAATGTAGGAGGACGAGGAGGAGGAGGAGGAGGAATAGGAGAAGGAGGAGGAGGAGGAGGAGGAGGAGGAGGAATAGTAGTAGGACTACATGGAGGAGGAGGAGGAGGGGAGGAGGAGGAGGAAGAAAGGGAAGAGGAGGAGGAGGACGAGGCGGAGGAGGAGGCGGAGGCGGAGGCGGAGGTGGAGGCGGAGGCGGAGGCGGAAGCGGAGGAGGAGGAGGCGGACGAGGAGGCGGAGGCGGAGGCGGAGGCGAATGATGATGATGATGATGATGATGATGATGATGATGATGATGATGATGATGAGGAGGAGGAGGAGGAGGAGGAGGAGGAGGAGGGAAGAGTAAGAGGAATACTAACACTGAATAATAAGATCATTAATACTATTAATAATAATAAGAGAAATAAGAAGATAATTAGTTTTATGTACAAGAAAACGATTAATACTAATCATAAGAAAAAATGCGAATATTAATCATATCACTTTTATCATCCGTATTGCTAATGCAATCTCAGTAAGAAGAAGAGACATATGAATGATAAGAACACATGATGTCAATGACATTCAGGATACTACTACTAGTAATATTCATCATGCTATTACTTAGTAATCATAACCTTCACCATCGCCATGACCGTATCATTGTTTCAAGTAGTCGTGCATAATAGTATCATCACTACCAATACTACGTTTACTACGAATGACAATGATAATAGCAACAGCACTACTGAAAACTACCATTGATACAACTCATAAAAATAGTTGTAACACTACTGTTAAGTCTCAAACTACTAAATAATGAGAATGCGAATAATATTACTAATTACAGGGGCAATGCTAACAATACTATAGTAGTGCTAATACTACTAACACTCATAATAATACTCGCATGGAGATTAAAATGATAAGGAGGAGGAGAAGAAGAAGGAGGAATGGTGATGAGGAGGAGAAGGAACATGAGGATGCTGATGAGGAGGAGGAGAAGAAGGGGGGAGGATGAGGAGGAGGAGGAGGAAGAAGGATGATGACGATGATGAGGAGGAGGAGGAAGAGACGGGGGAGGAAGAGGAGGAGGAAGAGGAAGAGGAGGAGGAGGAAGAGGAGGAAACAGAGGAGGACGAGGAGGAGGAAGTGGAGGAGGAGGAGGAGGCGGGAGGAGGAGGAGGAAGAGGAGGACGAGGAAGAGGAGGAGGAGGAGGAATGACGAGGAGGAGGAAGAGGAGGAGGAGGAGGAGGAAGAGGAGGAGGAAGCGGAGGTGGCGGAGGAGGAGGAAGAGGAGGAGGAGGAGGAGGAAGAGGAGGACGACGAGGAGGAGGAGAAGGAGGAGGAAAGAGGAACATCATAGTGATACGAATATTATGAAGAAGGAGAAGGTTGATAACACAAAAGAAAATGGTATCAGTAATAACAATATTAAGAATAATTATACGAATACTAATCATATAAGCACTAATGAGACTACCGATGATACCAGTCAGGGTAAGTTCATGAATAGTTGTAATAATAAGAGGAGGAGGAGGAGGAGGAGGAAGTGGAGGAGGAGAAGGAGTAGGAATGGGAGGAGGAGGAGGAGGGGGGAGGAGCAGGAGAAGGAGGAGGAGTGTAAACCCTAGAGCCATCAACGATGTTGTAATAGGCCCTCCCTCCAAGCTCCCTCTTCATAGGCCCCTGCAACGGTTCATTTCTACTGAGGGAACTGCCTCGTTGGAAGACAACCGTTTGAAGACCCTGAAGCATGCCAAAACATTGTTCGGGATCCTAAAACCACGACCAACCTGACTGTTGCGTCTTGACGATCCTGACTCGTGCCAGAACGCCATTCATGGGACTACAACACCGCGAACCGACGTAACTGCGGCACCCTCACAATCCTGAACCCGTCCAAAACACCATGTCTGGTACGTTGACCCTGGGAACCCGTGAAACTTGTGCGCGGTGCTTGCATATTTTAAAAAGAATTTACACGGCAAATCCTTGCAATCCTGTTAAGCGACTGTGCGCGGCGCTAAGGAGAGAGTCACCTTTTGAAAAGGAGCCGCCCCCAACCCGTGAAACTCTTGCATTGGCACAAATGTGCGCGGCGCAAGGCGAGAGCTACATTTTGAAACCACCCGCCCTCCGTCTTTGAAGATCTTGCAGTTTTTTACGGCGAATGTGCGCGGCGCTAAGGCGAGATCCCCATTTGGAAAACCACCCGCCCTGGATTTGTGAAACTGTGGTCAGTTTTTAAGCTCCAGCGTCATAAACAGTGAGGACGTCTCAGGCGATTTACCCGGCTCGCCCTAAACATTGGCTTCGGGGTGCGACAGGGAGAAGTCATTCCCCAGTCAGAGCTTGCCTCTGTAGGGGTCCTAGCGGATTCATTCCCCAATCAGAGCTTGCCTCTGTAGGGGTTCTAGCGGATTCATTCCACAATCAGAGCTTGCCTCTGTGGGGGTCCTAGCGGATTCAAGTTTTTAGGTGAGGTTTGCCAGCAATTTCCGCGGCCCTCCTGGGTACCCCGGTGCCCGGGTGCCCGGGTGCCTTATAGCCCTATAGCCCTATAGCCCTACAGCCCTACAGCCCTCTAGCCCTATAGCCCTATAGCCCTATAGCCATATAGCCCAATCACCCTGTAGCCCTATAGCCCGATAGCCCTATATCCCTATAGCCCTATAGCCACATATCTCTATAGCCCTATAGCCCTATAGCCTAATTGCCCTATAACCCTATAGCTCTGTAGCCCTATAGGCCTATAGCCCTATAGCCCTATAAACCTATACCTATAGCCCTATAGTTCCATAGCTTCATAGCCCTATAGCCCTATAGACCTATAGCCCTATAGGCCAATCGCCCTATAGCCTCATAGCCCAATAGCTCTATAGCCCTCTACCCCTCTAGCCTGATAGCCCGATAATCCTATAGCCCTATAGCCCTATAGCACTATAGCTCTATATGCCTACAGCCTTTGGCCCTGTAGCCCTATAGCCCTATAGCCCTGTGGTTTTACAGTCCTATAGCCCCATAGCCTATAGACCTATAACCCTATGGCCCTATAGCCCTATAGCCCTATACCCCCAGAGCCCCATAGCTCCAAAGCTCTCTAGCCCTACAGACCTATAGCCCTGTAGACCTATAGCCCTATTGCCCTATAGCCCTATCGAGCTATAGCCCTATGGCCCTATGGCCCTATAGCCCTGTGACGAGTTCCACCACCGTGCAGGCCCAGCACTGGGTGGCGACGGCTCGATGACCGCACAGTGTATTGTAACGTGTGGCACCCCGTGTCCCGAAGGTTGGGAGAGCCAGAAAATGTGACACCTTCTTCCGCGTCGTGCCAGGG